CCATCCATTTCCATTTTCATTTGTTTTCTTCCACTTATCCGGGGTTGGGTCGCCGGGGCAGCAGCCTAAGCAAAGAGACCCAGACTCCCCTCTCTCCAGCCACCTGGGCCAGCTCCTCTGGAGGAATCCCAAGGCATTCCCAGGCCAGCCAAAAAACATAGTACCTCCAGCTTGTCCTGGGTCTTCCTCTGGGCCTCCTCCCAGTGGGACATGCCCAGAACACCTCGCCAGGGAGGCGTCCAGGAGGAATCCTAACCAGATACCCAAGACACCTAAATTGGCTCCTCTCGACGTGGAGGAGCAGCGGCTCTACTCTGAGTCTCTCCTGGATTACTGATCTTCTCACCTTATCTCTAAGGGAGAGCCCAGACACCCTGCAGAGGAAACTCATTGGTGAAAAAGGGCAACCTTGGCGGAGTCCAACTCTCACCGGAAACGAGCTCAACTTATGACCAGCAATGCGGACCAAGCTCTATTTGCTTATTTTATGCCATAGCTTTAAAATGACAGTATTTCAACTTGGAACTGCTCATGATCAAATTAGTCATTTATCATTAGCTGTTAGCTTTTACTTTTTACTGAGATAGTTTAAAAAATCTACAAAAAATAACTGTTTGTGTCAAAGCTACAGGAAAAATAGAACTTTTGCTTTCTGTCATTGAGCTATATTGAATTAAAATAAAATAAATCCCAAAGACTTCTATTTCTGATTTACAATAGGAGACGAGTCTCCATCTCTTTGCAGCTTATTATTATTATTATTTTTTTAATTTTTATTTTCAACAACACAAAACACAAAAATACTGCATTGAACATGGTTTACATCTGATAACCATTGATTTTAGTAGTAATCTACATGACAGAATAGCATCCTTTAAATGCTGGGATGCTTGTAATCATACATCTGTCCCACCAGCTGACACAAATAGGTTTGCTCTGTCCACAACACCTCTGGAAAGATCATAAATATTTGTTAAACATTTTCCAAAAAAACTAAATTTTCAGCTCACTGGTCTAGCAAGTGTAGAAAACAATTGTGTTCTTATTCTGTATTTTTTTTTCTATTGTTTTATATCATTGTGCATGCCTTAATGATTTYACTACTGCTGTGTAAGTTGCACTTTATTTCCTGTCCCTTTTTTGTTCTGCAAGAGTTGCACGATGCCCATGATCTGTAACTGACTGCAAAGCAATGTCCACATACTTACAATGCACACACTCATTGATCATGAACACATTCTGCATGCTGATTTTGATAGAAGAGTTTGTTGAATCTGACGTGACATGTTTGTACGAACCCTTCGTATGAACAAAAGTAAGAGAAATTTAGGATAAGAATACGAACTTGTTCTTGCATGAGGCCCAATGTATTTTTTTTTTTGTGTATGAAGCCTGTTACAAGCTTATAATATGTTGCATGTTATATAGCTGTAAATGTTTGACTTTGATGGTGAAAAAATTTCGAAAAAAAAAACATAAAATAATTGCTGCAACAGAAGACTGTGCTTAGCAAAGAGTTGAAGTAAAGGTTTTCATGTTTTTCATTTTATTTCAAGCTAAGTTGTGTGTGTGTGTATATATATAT